CTATGTCTGTGTGTAGCATAAGAATCTGGCAAATAGTCATCTTACAGACTGGTTCACTCTTACCTGCAAGGGTATTAGTACTTGGAAGACTTCTCCAAGCAATCCAAACAAGGAGGAACTGGATTTCTTTTTTTGTTTGTTTGGTTTTGTTTGTTATTTTGTTTTGTTTGTTTGTTTGTTTTTAAGCCAGGGAAACATCTGTTTAAGGGAGTCAGGACAGATAAACAGGTCTATGGAATGAATGGATGTATGAAAAGCAAAAGGGATTTAAAAATATTGAGGAAAATGGAGGGTAGTAAGCTCTTTCCCTTCTGATGGATCTTTAAAAAATGAAATCATATTCCAGCACACCCTTCTCGGCTATGATCTCACAACTATTATAGCAGCACGGTCATATAAAAATACCATCTGTTTTTCCAGCAAGAAACAAAGGTTTGTCTGTATCTTCTCCCCTGAGCCTAGATGACCCCGTGGGCTAGCGTGGTCGAGACTCCCTTATGTGCTGTTGGCTAACGCAATAGGCACGACAGCAGCATCCAATTCTTAACCTCTGAATCCCTGTTCCAAAGAGGTAGATAACTTATGGTTCAGCTGGCAGGGTGCAGACTTCAGCAGTGCTGGAACACTACTTTAATTCATGCCCCTTGAGCTATAACAGACGTGCCACTGCATCCCTAAGTAACATACACGGATCATAAATAAGGTTAGATGTTATTTTAAGTAATAAACACTGAGATACAGAAACTTCATTGCAGTCTTCTGTCTTTGCTTGTCTCTTCATTTGGACTATTTTTAGTTTGCAGTCAGCATGATGACTGTGAACCCAAGGAACACTTGGACAATAGGTACATAAATAATTATGGATAGGTCTCCAGAGCCATAAACATTAGCAGAGGGATTCAAGTTAAATACTGGCTGGGACTAGTCAATGCCTTGGAGGTGTTGCTGTGTATGCTTATGCATATTAATATAATTTTGTTAGACTCGATGAAAAAATCCCTTATGAAGTGTTACTAAGTAGTGCAGAAAAGTGAGTTTTTATGTAGGTATATCAAAATTTTTCTTAAGAATTGATATCTGCATTTTTTGAAGGCACAAACTAGGAAAGCATTGATGTTGATAAGAATGTTGCAGCGTCTCTGAAATTACTTTTTTCTGGTGTTTCTTTGTCTGGCTGGATCACGCAGGAGCCCATGAGTAATCTGAAAGATTTGTGTCTGCATGGGTCAACCCTACAAAAGCAAGGATAGGAGGAAATAGTAAAGGTTCAGATTTCACTGAAATACAAATTGTGAGACTGTTTGTATCTCTGCAAGTCTATAAAGAGAAGAATGAAAAGTTAGGCACAGTTTGAACGACAGGCTTTGCGATGAGGGAAGCAATCTACTTATGCTCAACTTTGTTTCCCTACACAACCTCTGCAGTTGAGTAGGACTACATCAAATGGGAAGCAGTCAGCCTTACTCCCACTAGGAAAAACTGGTAAATGTTCCACCAGAGCCTCCCGTCCTGTGTTGTGGCACTACGTAAAACCAAGTGGTGGCTTTGGGATACATCAAGAGATGGTGCCGGGTCTTTTTTTACTGGAGGTCTGTACCTTCAGCTCTCGTCTAGGCTTGAAAAGAGAAAAAAATAAATGTAAATTTTTATTTCTTAACTAAGAAAAGAGGTCTCATCAGCAAGTGACAAATCATTCTTTGAGCTTGTGCTGAGTTCATAGCTGTCAAAAGGGGAAGTCCTCCTTTTGCTGCTTTTTACCGTGTGCCTGCTGGAGCACACAGTGAGTCATTTTGAGTCACTGAAATGGCAGAAAAGGATCTCTGAAGGAAAACAGAAATGGAAGGTGGCACCCTGCCATCCCAGTGAACTGAACTGGCCTGAGGGAGTCTCCAAGCAGCCGCAGAACAGGTGTAGAGGGAGCTGGAACGCTCCTCGTTACGGCCGTGTGCAATTAAACCAGCACAGCTGCTTCTGAAATAGTACCTAGGAGCATCCTCTGCTGCTTCTGGGGTTGCTGCACAACAAAGCTGAAGTATGTTGTGCCTGAAAGAATAGCACTTGCAAGAAACATATCCCTTGATTTTGATGTAAATGGTAAAATACCCCAGAGAGAAAGCCTGGCACCCAGATCTTCCTCAGCCCCAGGTAAGCGCTGTGATAAATGAGGTCGAGTCATGTTTCCCTGCTGGGCTTCATGCACAACAGCGCACGGTGAAACAGCTTCAACAGAAGGCAGAGAACACCCCCTGGGACAGATGGGTTTGGTCTCCCTCCAGTGTGAGAATTTGCTTTTGGTCTCCCGTTCCTTAGGTACAGATTTGGATCCGTAGAGCAGTAGGCAGGCTCCTGCTCTGTTGAGGGCAAACTTCAGCCTGATTTATAAAAGGCTTCTACTCCTCCCTACCCTAAGAAAAGGGCTCTGGGCTGTACAATGAGCTGACAGATCTCCCTGCGTGCTGATACAACTGTGACCATAGCCAGCGGGCTGCTGGCAGGCTGCACGTGGTATTTCACGCAGGTAAAAGGTGCCTCGTTCGGGATTCTGGATTCCAGTAACCTCAAGGGCAGGCACCCACCCGGGATCTTGATGGTTAACTTCTGAAGTCATGCACTGGATCTGGTCCAGAAGTTGTCACCTGATGTGATCTTCATGGGAAAATCAAGATACATGGTTCCATATGTCCCACTGGCTCGGGCAGCTGCATGCAGATACTGGAAATAAACTACACTGAGCCACCAGCAAGAATCTAAAAATTTACAGATTTAACACACAAAAAAACCCTCCTCCTTTTAAGGTAAAAGCTTGGGGGAGATCAGGGTGTGAATGGCTTTCTGTATTTCATACAAAGACAAAGCATCTCTGATCTCTGACAGCTATGGACTTCTACTAGATGTATTAACTTTTAAAGGATCTGGTTTCTGACAACTCTAAAAGAGTTATGTGTTCCATCGCTCTGCATCTGACATTTCTATAAAACTTTTAGGTTTATGTAAAATGTTCTGCTGTCACAGACTGTTGCCTGTGTGCTGGGATTATTAAATACTGTAATTTGGGTCTCTGCTACGTGGCATCTCATATAAAAAATCCATAAGCCAGTGTGTAGCTGCTTTTCAAAACATCTTATTATCCTTTACATTTGCTTAAAAGTGCATACTTGTCATTGTGCTTCATTTTCTCTGCATTCAGTAAATACATGGACTAAGTTAACATTGACCTGTATATTGGTATGGGTCTCAAGATGCATGGGGACTTCAGAGCTCTGACACAAATCTGGAATTTGTCAGTGTTAAAAATCTTTGCTCTGCTGTAGCCTGATCTGAATGCATGGATAAGCCATGGTCTGTAAAATACTGTCTGTGACATTCTGGGCTTGGGTTCCCTTAAACAATAGAGGAACTGAATCTGTATCATACCACTCCCTTGGGATGCGCTGACCATTCCACCAAGATGGAAAAACAAAACAAAACAAAACAAAATGCCTGTTTTGTTTTAACTTTAGCTGATAAAGGATAGCATACTGTCCCTCTTTGTCTCATGTGTATGCTATCCAAACTTCCAACTTGCAAACAGAAAGTCTGTCAATCAAATTGTTTTTGCCATACAACTTACTGATTCCTGAATCAATCCAATGAACTAAAAATATGTATTTAGGAAAAACAGTCCTAATATAAGCAAGTATCTCCTCATAGCACACATGCACAATGTTGGAAAATGTCAGAAAGGCTACGTTTTTTTTTTTCTTTTTTCCTATGTTCTTCCTACCTGGCTTTCTAATTCTGAATATCGAACTTGTATTGAAGTTTGGTTTGTATAGTCTCCTGCATCTTCATAAAAGATTCCTCCATTGCTCCTTAATGCTTTTCAGAACTGGGAGCTGTGGGCCTACTGCAGATTTCAGTGACCAGGGGTAGAAGAATAAGCAACACAAGCAGCCAGTTATGGATTAGCACGTAAGAGATATGATTTGCCAAAGGGTTTTGCAGAAGTTAAATAACAACTGAGAAATTTAGAAAAGGAACCTGACTTCCAGACTTTGAATATTGCTCTATCCCCAGTCCCTACTTGTTTTAAACCATGCCATTTCTGTCCTAACCTTATTCTTGTTGTGGACTTGGCTTACTGAACCCCTTCAGCTCCCCCTTCCCTCATTAGCCATGTTTCTTTTTTCCATCCTTAACTGATCTGTCTCCTTCCCCATTCCCTTGCTCTACTCTTTTTGCTGAGTCCACTGCTGTTCCTTTCCCATTCCTTTTGCAGTCTTAGTGGCCATTTTCCATTTTACTCAGTGGCTCCTAGTCTCAGCCCTTGGTTGACCTCCTTTTCAGTTTCTCCCCACACTCCTTCTGTCCCATTTCGTCCATAAAGGATTTCCCTGCCAACATGTTCCACTGTCCAACCCTCAAAACCTCACAAATGGTAAATCTAGCCTTACCTCTGCATATCTGAGGTGGAAGTTAATTTTTTTTGGTGTTGTTGTTAGAATGACCTATGCACAGTTGCTAAAGGAGACAGCTTAATAAAGAGAGAGATACTGGAGTGTTAATCCGCAGAGTTTTTTTCTTAAAGAAAAAAAGGCCTCATAGAATATACTTTTTTTTAAAAAATCATAAACTTAGCACTCCCTTTCCAAGCTCTAACATCCAACATCTAGAAGCAGAATTTCTTAAAGAAGAGGTCCCCAGATGTTTACTTATTATGCAGAAAACAATGCATGACCTAAGTCTCATCATTTGAAAAACGTGAACTATGTAGGTTAAAAGTTAAAATAAATCCAAATTTTAAGATAAGACATGAGGCAAATTTTAGGAATCTGCTTTTGGGAACTGCTTTTAGCAACTTGAATTAATTATAGGCAGGGCTGTTATTGTTCAAGCTTGATCAGGGCAATTTATTTCACCAAAACTGAGAAGCTTGTATTCTATTCAAGCAATGTCAGCAATGAATCATGATTGACTCTACAGAAACGACAGAGATATATGCGAACTAGGACACAGTAAAATCTGCAAAATAAAAACAACTATATTTTTGAGAATTTATTCCAGCACTTCAATTTACAGAAAACTGAGGTAACCCTAACAGAAGCAAAACTCAATATTGCAGTACACCATTGCAGAAGACATAAGAATCACCAGTTAAAAATGTGAAAATACAACCATATACCCTTCATTCTTTAAATCTGTTCACATTTGTATTCATCTTTGGCAGTCTACAACTGTTCTGAAAGCACTGAAGGTGAGTACTATGATAAGGTATGGCACTACTAATAAGACTTGAGATCTTTCTCTCCCTCTCTGATCTCATTTGAAGTATGAGACTTTGAAATTAGCATTGTCAATGCACAGGCCCCCAGTGTGCCTAGGGTCTCATTCTTGCATGCTCTGCATTACTTTTCCATACCCTTTTCACTACACATTTGGAGATGCCAAGGACTCCTAGCCTTCAGCATGCAGTCTTAGTGTGTATGAACAAAACATTTATAAAAGACAACATTTCAGAATGAAGTGTGCTTTCTCTTGGAACTCCTACAGTCTGGAGGTGATCTGCAGTGTGATCTCAGAAACTATTTCAGCTTCAGACAACGACACTTGGAATGTCAAGAGACTACTGAAAGTCCTTAGAACAGCCTTAACGAACATTACTGTTACAACTCAGTAAACTCATTTAATGTTTCCCATAACACTGAATCTAAATACACATTAGAGCGAGCCATGATTGATCATTCCAAGTTGCAATATGGCCATATATTTCCAGTTACTACAGAAATAAGTGGTTGTGGTCATTCACAACACAATATTGCACCTTGTAGAATAGAATGACTCTTTCTAATCTGTATAAATTTCACTAGGAGAAATTGCAAATGTATGATGAGACAAAAGCAGACATATCTCTGTGAGTGAGTTGATAAGACATGTTAAAAAAACTACTATTTAATAAAATAAAAACCTGACCACCAGATAAGAAAATCTTTTTTGGAAATGCTTTCTCTTTTCAGAACATTGCAGAAATTCCCTGTTGACAATCTTACAGAACACGTACATGCTGCAAAAAGGAAACCTACAGCAGGAGCAATGAAGAATTACCTCAGCTTTCATCACCGTTTAACTTGATTGAAATTGTTCTCATGTTCCATTAAGTATAATAATACATTTGGAAAATGTAAATAACCTAATTACATTTTCTTGTTTCAAGCTGCCAGGCACCAGTCATATATCGCAGTCGTATAAAAAGAAGATCCCTGCCCATCTGCAGCCAGCTCCAAAAGGGAACTAACTTAGAACCTGTGATTAATGAAGAAGAAAATCAGAAGGACATGGTTAGAAAAAATGAGCAATGGCAAAACATACTTTTACTAGTCATGAACCTCTGCATTCTCAGCACATTCAGCCCTACAACCCACACCTTGTCATAAAAAATATCACAAAAATATATATTAACAATGTATTGCATGGTATATTATACTATACCATGAGTGGCAGCAGTACAGTAATTTAATGCATACCACAGGATGCACAGTATTCTCTGCGACAGGGCTTTGTTCAAATAAATAGGAACCTGAATACCAATAGTTAAGGAAATGATTTCTGAACAACTTTGGAAAGTCTTTGGAAATTGTCTTTGAAAGACAGTAACATGAATTTGCCAGTCTTCAGACAAGGTAAGGAACACACACCATGAAACCAATTCCTGTTCCATCTCTGCTAACATTTGTGCTAGGAAGCAGAAACGGAACTGCATTGAAAGAAAATAGTCTCTTTTATAGTTAAGTTGGTTTAGGATGTTCTCTATTTTCTTGCACCTTTTGTCACCATTACAGTTTGTCATACTTTTTGTTGTTCAGAGGTTTTGTTGAGGAGAAAAGATTCAGCTTAAAAAATAAAGAAAAAAAGAAGGAACTGCACTTGATTGGAGGAAGTATGCACTTTCTAGTACCACAGTAAGAGATCTCTGTACAAGTTTCAAAGAATCAAACAAAATCTTGAGAAGAGAGGGTGCTCTAGAGGAGACTTAATAGATGGGTTGAGAATTTTGGAAGGAGAGACAGAGAAACAGAGCTGAATCAATACACAATGATGGTCAGGCTTCCTGCAGAGCATTTTATAATTGCACTATTTTTATTAACACATTATTGCAAGAGGACTTGCTGAAGTAGTGCTTTATCCTAGCAGAATAATTACCTACCTTTTTCTCCAGTGTTACCTATTCACCTACTCTTCCTGTGCCTGTGCTACCATGCCATGTGAGAAGGCAGGCAAAGACATGAAATTCAAAATTTTTATGGAAAGAAGGCTGTGTACTATCAAAATTGGATAAAATGATCCATTCTGGGAAGACTCTCAGATATTTTATTTGGGAGTGACACTTAAGGAATCTTACCAAGAAAATAAACCAGTTCCTTACCTTCAATTTCAGTCCAGTTGACAGCAACTTCTGCTATAGGTATTCTCAAGTGCTGAGCTATGTAAAGAAGTTCTACATCAAATGCCCTGAAATAGAACAGGAAAAAGCAAAATACAGTGATATTTATTTCCAGAAGGAAGGTGGTGGTACTGTTAATTAAATCCTTAGCGTAATTTAAAACAGGCTGGCACTCAGTTATGAAGTTGGTACCAATTGCCTACAGGTCTGATGCACATGAAAGGGAATTTAATTTCCTTGACTGAATGACTAAGAAAATAGCCAATGTACAGAAAACAATACTTCACTGCACTCTGTTTCTTAAGGTGTGTGTCATGCTGAGCTCAGACCACTGCTCACTTTTCATTCTGCCACAATCATGATTTAGAAAATTTTGAAGACCAAGCAGTCAAATGTGTGATGTCAATTTACATCTCTACTACTTTCACCAAAGAGGAAGACTACCTGCTGTGTTTTTATGCTGATCTGATACTTTCTCCCTGTACTTTCTAAGTGAAGAATAAAGGCAGCAGCACAGAAGTGATTTGAGAAGGTAGTGTGCATAACAGAGCCTGAACTTTTTTTTTTTTTTTTTTCCCCTGCACAATTGTTCACAGGCTGTGCAGCAAAATGAACTGGGGAAGTGATCCTACGCTAATTAAGTCATCTAACCCCCTTGTCTAGTTTCTCCAAAATGAGCTTTAATCCTCACTGTTCTCTGCACAGAAAACTGTTTGTGTGCTTCATTCTTAGAAGTATATGCTCAAATACACCCTCTGAGCCTAAGGCACTGAGGCTATTGATATTAGAAAAGTGCTTTGGCAACGATGGGTTATAATGCTTCTGTAGAAATCAGCATACAAAGTTACTGGCAGTTGCTGTTGACAAGGGTGAATGCAAATCACAACTACGAAGTTTTTGGTTATGCTGGTTACATTTCTTAAATTTATTGATTGCTAGGTCTTTATTTTCCCCCTCTGCAGTCTTCAGTTACCAGTAGGGCTGTTCTTGTTCCTTGCTGGTCATTGAAACTCAAGCTAAAGACTTCCTCTCCCATAAAAATACAAAACAAAACAAAAACCACCACCTTTTTGATTTTTAAAGACATTAGTCTGTATTAAAAAAAAAAAAAACAAAAAAAAAAACAACACAACAGTGGCCATCCATATCTGATTTCTGTTAGATTCAAGATAAATTCAAACACAAGTTCATTTCCCAGGGAACTAAACCTTGAAGGTCAAGGAATTGGAAATGTTCTAGCCAAGCTATTGGTAAGGTTTCCAGTTTGAAGCCAATGGAACAGAAGTTGCAAAACAACTTATTTAGGTCTTGAAAATACCGCTGTGAGGCAGTCAAACACAATTCAACACTAACCCATGTTTTCTCTGCGTAACTTCATACTTTAAGAATCTCCTTAAATTCTCATTGCTAACTCCAAATTGATTGTTTTTTAAAATGAAAAAAATAATCATCTGTTGCCATTGGAGAAAATGTATGCAATAAAATAATTAAATAACATAATTTCTTCATACTTCAAATGTTGTTTGAATTCAAGCCACTAGCAATTCCATTTGACACCACAGCTGTGGGACAGAAAGGTGGTCAAGAGCAAGCAAAAAGACATATTTTAGCAGGTGACTAGCCAAATTCAGACATTACTTCCTTCTACTTCGATACAACCTCGTACTTCGATCCACCCTCTCCTTCAAGCAGTGCAGGCTATTTCTGCAAAATTGTTAATGAACACAACAACAAGAGAAGCTACTCTGAAGTAATTACTCAGGTATGACACGTACACTTAGGTTCCCACTGAAGCACACTGGCTTGCTGGTGAAATTGTTACCACACACGCATCAACCTGAATTCACACGGTAAGTACGTGGAAACAGAACCACTGATACTACTCTCAACAGCACTAAAACATGCAAGGGCAACATAAACAAAAGTTATCTACAGAGACTAGGTATTTTATACAGAGAATTTAGAACCGCTACTCGATTTTGATTAGGAAACAGACCTTTTAATTGTCACAAAAATAGTTACAGGAATAAATAAATGTTTTTTGTTTTATTGTTTTTTCCTCAGTCAACTGTATCTGTGCCAAGCAGCCTTGCCATTTTGCTGTTTTCTTTAAATTAGGGCTGAATATCATTCTATTAATTATGCCATGGTCTCCTTTACTGAAATTGTACTACTTGATTTTTTGCTGACATTTTACCTTTGTAAGCCAAAAACCCATGTATTCACCTTTGAATGTTTATGAGTCATGTGTATTAAGAGTAAATCTAATTTTGCAATACATACTACTTAACTGACTAAAAATCTTAAGAGACACAGAATAATTGTCTGATGAATTATACTATATGAACTGCTCTAAAAATATTACTCCATGAAGTATTAGCCTGGTGAACTAATGGTTATTTGCAACAATTCCTATGGACAACCAATTACTGGAATGTCAGCAATATACATCAGAGTAGAGCAACACTAAATAGTTTGGGGAACTACAGTGCTCAAAGTATACGACTAAAAGGACAGGAATTAATCAAGTCGAACACTAATACTGTTACATGTGGTTGTCATTTGTGTGACAGTGAACATATCCTGAAATATAAAGAACTCGATTCGAGGCTGAAAGGAGAATGACTTTTGTAGGATGCTGCTGGGGCACGGTTTTCCTTCAGCTGTTCCCTACCACCTTCCAGCACAAACCATAGGCGTGCTTAATGAAGAGTTAATGAGGGAATATAGGTTGTAGGGTACTCAGTATACTGATGATCCTACATTCAGACTGCAGACCACCAAATGCAGGCAGCACAGAAGTACTCAGTTTCCCTATCCAGGATTTTGGTGTGGGTATAATAGCTGGAGCCAGCTGTAGAGATCAAAGCAACACCAGTGGACGAGCTGATGAGTGCAATACACGCGCTTTGACATGAAGCAGCACGTCAGCCACTTGCGAGCAGTTCACGTGTGACAAAAGCACTGTTGGGAACAGCAGGGAGTTGTTCCCACCATGTACTCCAGGGGATCCTCCTGCAGAGCGCAGATGTAGGCGCCTCCTGGGTGTGGATCACAGTTCAGAGCACCTACGTTTGGCTCCAGCTTGAATGAATTCCTAGAAAAGCTTAACACGCTTCCTTGATCACGTAGAAAGTTCAGGCTCTAATTTAAGCACCTGAAGTTACCCCAAAATACACGGTGTGAACCATTTCCCCACCTACTCCTAATAGTGGCTCCATTATGTGTTAATTAACACAAACATCAAGTATAAAACACAGAAAAACTTTTCCGTGTGGTTGTGTTTATGCTAAATACTTTTGATTAAGTTACAATTTAAGGCTATGCTGGCTAAAACTCGGTTGAACACCAGGTTGGTAGGTGTTTAGCTGAATTCAATCCCTTTTAAACTGAACCTGTAAAATGTTTATTCTTAAAAAAAATAAATAATTTTGCAGGATAAATATTTTGTAATTAATTTGAAATTGCTGTTTGGCTTTGCTGCTCCAACACTAAATGTTTCAAATATCTAAATTTGGCATTCTGATATACCACTGCAACAGAAATTTAGAACTTTTCAACAACAAAGAGATGATGTGTTGTTCCAGCAAACTTAGAGGGCAGACAAAACTTTCGATGGCCAAAGAAAGAATGAAATATACTGTCATGCTCCAGCTGTACTGGGGCTTTTGAAAGCCCACATGTGCCTGCTAGGAGCAGCATTTTTTTATTTCTACAAGACAAAACAGAGATAGTTGTAACACTAAAATATTTTTGTGTTGATTAGATGTCCATAAACAATTCTACTTGTCATGCATAAAAACAGGAAAAAAGAACTCATTCCACTGCTTGTGTTCATCTACAATGCCAAAGAGGTGGAAACACATCCTTCCATACCAGTATTTATCTGTTTATATAAGCAATGAATGCTTCTTTTTCTGTATATATATATATATATATTTTTTTTTTTTTACAGACTCACATTTAGAGGTTAGTGATAGACTGAAGAAGCAAATGTGACTTTTTTATACTGAATTTTTTGTGTTTTAAATGTGAAAAAATGGCTTGTTCAGTGCACAAGGCATTTTTTTTTTAGACAAAAGTAATAACATTTTCATCTATTCTAATCTGTCAAGATTCTAATCTAATCAATTTATCTAATCAATGATCTTCTAAGTTGCTTAATATCATTATAAATTGCTACTTTACAAAATTATGTCAATCAAGCCAGAACAAAAACTGTATTTTGAATTTCCTCTTATTTTATCAATATTCCAGGTAGGATAATAACTGCTGCCACGTCTAGCGCTTCTGTGTAAGGAAAGAAAAAATTCTGGCTGGATGAATTTTTTTTTGTAGTCAGAAAAAATATAAACGACCAAATTTTGGATAGGAAAATTCTGCCAGTGAGGCAATTGAATTTCCCAGTTTTCCTCCTGCACATTATAATTTAACATAGAAAGTTACACTTTTCCAGGTCAAAACTGTAGATGCAGAAGTAAAGCTTCTTTTGGAATCTGAAAGTGAGTAATTCCAACGGTCTCTATTATGTTTTTAAAATACCTCTTTTAATTTCTTTTAGGTTTTAATTTAAAAAATGTGCTCCATCCATTTGTGAAAAATAGATTAGTGGTATAATCAGATTCAGAACCTAAAACACAAAGCATATGCTCGCTGTTCAAAAGGTTGCTCTCATTTCAAACTAATGTCAAAACTTTGCTATGTAGAAAGTAAATTTCAAGTTTGCATTCATATACATACAGCCATCTCTCCGAAGGACAATTACATACAAGAAGAAACCACTTACAAAAGAAATCTTGTGTACGAAGTAAGCATGACTTCTCAGTATCAAAAATATAAACAATTTCCAGCATCTATTAATTTTTCAAATGCTTTCTGAACTTTAGAGTTCAAGTAATAAAATATTCCAGGAAATATCTTGGTCTCTTTTGAAAAATTGTTATGATTCTCATCACTGTAACAATAAAACAGTTTGCTTTTAAGATTTCCTAAACATAAGCATCTATAAATTAAATTCAGTGTAGCAAGAAGACAACTGTGGTCTTAATCTTGCAGTATTTTTAACGTTAAAGAGGTGATATACAACTCGGTGTCAACTGGAAGAGAAAAGCACGATGAAAGCAGAAAAACGTGGAGGTCTGATCAACTAGCTTTTCGTTTCTGTTGCAGCTGAAATTTGCTTATTTACTCATGATTAAACTAATATTGAGTCTGTCAAAGGCAGACATAGAATCATATAAAGGAAGATCGTGATGTCCTGTCACTACCCCCTTGCAATTTTTTCCTGTGAAAAGTGGGTATGGAAACACAAGCCTCCATTTAAAGGTGGTACAAGTCAAACACTTGAAACACCACAAGCATTTGTGTTTTGTGTCTCTGGTAACAATCAAAGTATGGAAACTAAAAAATCTTTTGCTCCCTCCTACCTAGCAGCAGGACAGCTATGTTGCTTACATTGACCAGAGTGCGAGATGTTCAGTTTCCAAGAAAGAGACTGTGCTCCTAGCACCGGCTCTTTGAGTGAGGCGTGTTATCAGCCTGCTGAGAGACATACAGACAAAACACCTGTACTATTGCTTGGATAAGTGTTGCTCTGCCTTATGGCAGTATTGACAAAACCCAGCACTTCGGTGCAGTCTACTGCTACCCAGTGCTAATTCAGCACTTAATTGAGCACTTACTCCCTGGTATACAGAGACACTTCAGAATTCCTTTTTCTGAAGGAAAGCATTCTCTGGGCTTTTTGTCTACAGAAACAAGCAACATTGCCCAGATGGCCCAGAAACTGACCTGCCTCAGATACAAAATTTGGTTAGTAGTCTTTCACCCTAATCCACGACTTTCAGTATTTACTGAATAGTTTTATATTTTTGATGCAATTCACACACAAGCAGCCTGACATTTTTGCTACGTATTGTAACACCGTGAGTGGAATTTACCCTGCTGAACTTCAGTCACCTACAGAGATAGCTCCTGTACAAATTGTCCAGCATCCCTCTGTAGTGAGAGGTAGGAAATGGGCACTTCTAGGCCACACTTCATCTGGCATGTTTTAGAGGCCCTGCACTAGAGGGAAGCGAATGATACCCTAATATTGTCCCTTGTTCTTTTGCTTCAGACGCTAGATAAGAAGCAGATGCACTCTAGATGAGATAGAAGGAAACTCAGTCCTTCGGGTGCACATACTTATGATATAGCTGAGCAATAAACTTAACAGTTCAGGCAGGGATTTTTAGAAAACCAATTGTATACCATTTTATATTAACATTTTATTAAATGTTATATATCACTGTTTAGTCTAAATACGACCCCATGTAAGAATTCATTCAACTCCGTAGCACCTCCAGAAATTGGAGCCTCACAAAACCTGAGCAGAAAGGATAGACCAGGCTCCTGCAGAACCTGCATTCGTTCCCTTAAACAACTCACCACAAGCTGGTCCAGCAGCAGGGAAACCCATGACAGACTCTATGACCGTGCTGCTGGCTCTTGGATGGATATGATCCTATTAAATGCTGCTTGTTTGCTGCAAGTTCCCAGCACTCTCCTCCATTATTACCAGAGTATCTGAGCACTCGAATTCTTCTTGCAGTACTTAACTAATAGGATTTTAAGACTCAAACAGAATCAAATTATTTCTTTAGATGCCAAGTAACACCACCACCATGATGCAGGTGTGGTAATAGACAGATTTCAGAGCCTCTTGTCCAGTATCAGCATAGAGGTTTCTCTCCAATCCCTTGCCAATGGTCTCAGTATGAATGAACTGTTCTGTGACTCATTTAGGGATACTATATAATGCTGAATATTGAGTTCATCAGGCAGCTGTAGGAAGAAGGCCCCATAGTCCTTCGTCTGACAGCTTCATACTCATGAGGTGACAGAACTTCCATGTCTAACCAGATTTTATTTTCCATTTTTACACACTAGCTATGTGATGGAAACATATCAGAAGCCAGTTTTATTTAAAATAAGGAATTTCTACCACTGGATTACTTCAGATTATTATTAAATACAAAGAAATCCGGTGCATGGTTCTATGAGATGAATGGCTGATGTCTCTATACTGTTTCCTACTGCAGCTGTCCCAACTGTCTGTACACCACAGACATTTCACTTAAAACAACTATTTCCTTTAATATACTCACTTTCCCCACATGCTTATTTATTTCTTCCCCAGTTTATTTCCAGATCTTGCAAATACTGACTGGGAAAGGGACAATAATCTGTTTTGTGCACTGAAACGTTAGCTTCGACTTGCACAAGCTGGATGTTAGCTATGGAGCTGATGAGTAACATTTGAGTCCATATTGTAGTATTTTCTTCAGCAGTGGCAAAGCCTTTCATCCTAAGATCTTTACTGTTCTGTCAGATTTGGTTGAAATTAGCCAATAGGTATGAAAATAAAGGGAGGGAGGCACAAGAACTGCCTGAAAGACAGATGAGTAGAAAAGCAGACAGTATATTGCCTGTTTTGGCAGCAAATTAAAGGAAATAAATAAATAAATACTACTTTTGGCAGATTTGTGACTTGCAAGTATCTGAAGAGCTGCTTTTGGGAAGAATTTGAGCTGTTCTTTTTTTTTTTTTTTGACTAACAAAATATTCTTCATCATGAACCAGTAAGTTTCAGATAAAAAGGAAAACATTTACGGGATTAGTTTCTGGATTATTGTAAATAAAAAAGCAAGTACTGAAGGCTAATTTTACAGCAGCACATAAAAGCACAATGTATTAGCACACCAAGTCCTGAAGCACTGGTGTGTTCCACACTAGCAATAAAATTACTATAATGTAAATTAGCAATACCCCTTTATCACTGCCTGTATTCTTGGATAGAGGGGTACAGGTGACAGCACACAGCACAATTATTTTTACTCTTTCTCCTTTGCTGACAGAGAATACAAGTGGCAGAACAAAACAAAGCTTTTCTTTAAGAAGTTGAACACTTTTTGTATGTCTGACCAGTAAGTAAAATTACATTCAAAATATTCAGTTTAAAACCTCATAAAAATTGATGATTGCATTTTCACAGATTAAAATAATTGTTTTAATTCATTCCTTTCAGATTTCCTTCTTGAACCACTTAAAGAGTCAAGTTAAATAGGATAATTTTGAGATGTGCACTTCTGAGCTATTGATACATGTTTAGACATGTATTTAGAAAATTCATGAATATGCAATTTAAAGTTTTATAAATCATGTTTGGTTTTGGAGGTAGCAGCATAAATCAAGATTCTAGCTCAGCTACGGTTTTCTTTATGGCCATCACGAAACCACTCAGCCAGGAAAGTGATTTTGCAGAAGCTGAACACAAAAAATTCCAGATCCAGTTTAAGAGAAGCTGCATCATACACACCAAATTTGTGTGCTCAAACAATACCTTCACAAGCCCATCTCTAGGAGTGATAAAGCGTGACTGCCAAAACTCAACCTAAAACGAGATGTAATGGATTTTACTGAGACTGTGGGATTAGGCATTTTTTTGGGAACACTGGTCAGTAATTCTGCTCCCTGTAGCAAGCAGTAGCCTATGAGAGATTTTTTGGATGAACACAATAATTTGAAAAGAGTTGATGATAATTAAACTTGGGGACTGTCGTGATGCTTTTGAGCAATAACTGTGGACTAGGAAGTTTAGAGAAATTCTGGTATTTATGGGGAAACAGCGTTTCAGTCTCATAACAATAGTCACGACTATCACTCTCATAAAGGAACTGTTCTAGCTTAATTACAAAGAAAGTTCTAAAGTAATACAAAGATCATGCATCATTTTCTAGTGCCTTAAATGAATGAGATCTATCAGTAGTCCTCTCGTTAGATATTCCAGCCAGAAAATAAAGGTATTTCCCTTTTCTTTGAGCCTTTAGCAATTACCAGTATCTTGTCAGATATGGACATTAGGAAAAATGCTTTGGTTAAGAAACATTCAATTGTGAGGTTGTATTGCATAAAAATAGTTTGTTAAAAGTTTTGAATAGGATTATTAACTGTCAACTTTCCATAGCAAAGTAAGAGCTTCTTTCCATTTCTTACTCTGCCTGTAGGGCTCATATCTGTAAAAGGAAAGAGGACTCTCAGAAATAAGTAATAGAATATAAGACAAAAAAAAAAAAAAAGTCTGTTTGGATTTTCTTGCTTTTAGACGTGAAGACAGAGGAGAAGAGTCCACTCTCCTAATCAATCACCTATTGGTCTGACAAAGCAAAACCAAAATGTACTACTTCTGAGTACCACAAAACTCTTTCTACATCACATGCCAAAGTAAAATGAACTTGCAAGGAAGGCATCAAGGATGTTATCCAAAATCTCTGCAACGTGGTCTTACAATCCTTCCTGCAGTTTACATTGGATGCTATTTTAAAGTCAAAATTTAGTTCAAAACTTAACAAGTCCATCTGCTTCCCTTATCCCTACCTTCACAAAAAGAAAAAGTGAAATGAACTAATTCCTGAAGTAGACCTTAAGAATAAAATAGAATTCCTAGCAAATACCAAGGTATTTTTACTATACAAGTAGTACTGTAATTCATCAAGAAACTGGGCAGCTAGGATTTATGCACAGACATCGTGTTTCATAGTAGCTGCAGTGCTGAAATTACTTTTTCAAAACCATGTTAAATGAGAAACAAAACAAAACAAAACAAAAAAAAAACAACAAAAACAGAGAATTTACCAGCGTTCTACGTGGAGAGTTGAGAAAGTCCGCAAGGCAGCTTCTCTGGTGAAGAGTTTAAATCCACACTGTGTATCCCTGATTTCTTTGACACACAGAAACCATACAAGGAAGTGGAACCCGTACATAAGGAGAGTTCGAAAGTAAGAACGCTGTGAACAAATGACAAGTAGTTAGATGGCTTCATTTATGTGATGAGTGAAGTGTTTCAAGAGAGCTGGCTTACAGGACAATAAACATGTTTTGTGACAGCTTTCAAAGGCTGTAAACTATTTTTGTTTTGCACTGGAAGCAAACCAGAACTTTTGGATTCTTACAGTGAAACAAAGCTAGAGCTGAAAATGAACGACTTGCCAGTCAAGTTCACATTTAGAATATAGGCACAGGATATGAAAAGTCCAAGTTCTTGTTGCTTTACCTAATTCAGAACAGCTTTCCATTCTGGACAACACCGTATCAAGCACAGCAGAAATCCAAACCTGGATTTCAACTCAGATTGAGCAGTACAGACTGTGATTTCCAGGGAACTGGGGGTACCAGGAAGAGGAAAGTGAAGGAGGAGAGTGGAATGGCATGCTACATCCTCTGCTGTCTGGGTGGTTGAACAAGCCCAACAAATTCACAAGTTAACACAATCAACACTGGAGAATAACCCAATGGGGCTGCATAAACACTGTTATTCTTAAGAATACACAGTAAAAACTATGCAGGTTCCAGCTGCTACTCCAAAACATTTTTTTGAAAGTTTATTATTATTCCTAGAAACCAAAACCACACAACAACAATTAAAAAAAAAAAAACAAAAAAAAACAGGAGCATCCCTTGTTGTTTGCATTGAACACTTCTTTCATTAAAGATTCAATGATCTCCAGAGATTACACACAATGTGTTAAGGCACTTAAAGGAATGCAATTAAAGAATGGATTTTTTTTTTTTTTTCCAGCATGTGATGGTCCAAGTAACAAACAGGACTGAAGTAACAGCTGCTGTGTAAGGTAATTTTTCATTTTATACTTCCAGCAATGTTCCAGTCACCTCTTTTATTCGTTTGCAAATGTATTTGATGTTCCTGCTACAAGTTTTCCCAGTCTACTGTTTGGTTACACTTTTGGCCTTGACATAATAATCACACAGATGTGTTTGTCCATGCAATCCAGAGGCTGCCTTCTGGGTTTGCAGAGATCACTCCTAGTCTTGTGTTCAAGACAGCTCCTAAGCAAACAGGACTCAGACCCACAAATCACTTCTGAACTCACTGCTGAATTAAGCTGAATTTAGATGATTGTATCTAGGACAGCAAGCCAAATACTACGCAAAATCTTTAGGAGCCAACAATTCATCTGTTAACTATCTCTGGCTGATAAGAGATTCCTTTAAAGCTAGTAATTGCAAACCTCAGTTAAAAAATGGGAAGATGTTCAGCTTATTATGTAACAGCTTCTGGCTTAAGGAAATTCATAGCTTGTGCCTCTTAGAAAAGAGCTCTAGCCCTGAGTTAATAGTGGATATGGTGTGGATTTTTTCGCTCTTTTGGTGAAGGTGAGCCACCCTGTGCCCAGTAACACAAGACTACTTACGAGTTCCAGAAGGAAAGCTCTTAGAGGCTGCACGACTGCCATCCTGTAATAGCGTGCACTTTGCAAAAAGGAGCTCCTGTGTTATGTTCATTGCTCTCAGGACTATTTATGCCTTTATTTATGGACTCATTAACGTACATTAACAATTCTAGAAGCAGAACAGAAATCTTGATGTCTTGAGACTTAAATTAAGGGTGAAATTCTGGTCTTAATAAATCCCACATGGCTTCTCATCACAGCTTTATTCTACTATTCTAGATGCCACTAAGCCCAGAGAGAAATCCCAACTTCTCAAACATTATTTTGCATCTTTTTTTATTTTTAATACCTATTGCCTACTCAGCAGTTTTTTCCCCAATGTGGTAATCCTTCCTTTCCAGACTGGGGACAGCTGGAGTGATGAAATGCGCTACATATTTTAAACAGAACATTGCTACCTAATCAGTTGATGATGCCCTCATCAAAAAGTCAGAAATAGGGGGAGAAACAAGAAGCAAAGGAGGGATACTCTCATCCTGCCAACTGTATTTCTGCATTAAAAGCTAAAATGCTGTTCCGATTCTTCTCGATTACCTATCAAACCCTTCAAAGATGCTAAGAAATATGAGGGCACTGATGAAAGTTCATGTATACTCAGTGCCTCAACACAGCATGAAGGAATTCTGTGGGCTCCAATTTATTAGCTACATGGTCTCCATCTAGCTACGTGGTCTTCATATAGCAGCAACATTTCTAGGACTCACAGGCTAACTGTAAATGGTGTATTCTGTCCCACAAGCATGCAAGTACCATGTCAAATATTTGTTCTTATTTGGGAAAATTATGTTTTTGCTTTTTTCTTCTATTTTTTTTTCTTTCTGTGAGGATGCTGACATAAACACACCAGTATTTATAAGAACTCTTTTCCAGTGCACTGCTCCAATACCACTTGATAAACCAGAAGAAAAAAAAGTTCAAGATCTACCAGGGGCTGAACATTACCAGAGTAATTTCTTTTAGCCTTTTTAAAGGACTTTTTGGACTTTTTACTATTTGGGTATATATATCAGTTTCAAGTATCAAACATCAGCATACACAAAGCTTACTCTTGAGAACATTCAACATGATGAGCATATCTAATGATGCTCAAAAATATTAGTCCAGCAATGTGTCTGTTGTAATACAAATTCCATGCCTGTGCTTTGTCAACTATTGTCAGCCAAGACATCAGAAAACCAGATGCAAGATAAGACTGTGCTTATGCATCCCTGTTTATTCCACAAGATCCACACAGAGAACAGGGCTGTTCAGTAGATTGAGTACAAACTCAAAAATTTTACTATAATACAGAAAAATTACAGTACAGTACTTTCCCACTGATTGAGATACTCTTCAAAGTTTATTGCTAATTACCCCTAACTCACTTTGAACAGCCCTCAAGATCTGTAGATAACAAGCTCCTGCTGTGGAAGAGAATCAATGAAAGTGAACTCATCAGTTGCCTTCCACTCCTCCACCACTACTGGCAGAAAATGTACACTTGAACAGAGACCATTCCACTGCAGCAGCTTTAACTCATCAGTTACAAAATGTTAACTTCTGAGGACTGTGCCTGAAACTTTACTTCCTAATGACAGGAAACCAAAATTGTCTCTAGTAACCAATTAAGTCAGGAATTTGAAGCTCTGCTTGTAAGATGTTCTCAACTAGGAAAACGAAATCCTTCAATCATAACAATAACTGAAACCAGTTCAAAGTTGGTGGTGTCTGAAATCTAGAACACATCCGTTGTATGTGATGGAGCATATGTTCCACTAATGGCAAGCATTTCCTATTTTCCAGCTTCCATTCTTTTACAGATCTTGCTTAATTAATTGTAAAACCTGTACAGCAGATACAAATAATGGAAATATTTTGAGTACTGGTACACAGAAAGAAAGAGAACAAACCTTTGCTATTGAGTCCTTTTCCAGATGAGCTCTAGAACCACAGGAAATAGCCATCTGGTTCTGCGCAGGAATTCAAATTAAAGAATTATTAGTTAAACTAACATCTTCTGAATCATTGGAATTTTATGTGAGTTTCCACACGAAACCTTTACAAGTGATGATAACAGTATAGTAAAAACTTCAGAGGTGTATACTCTTCCGTGTCCTGTAGCTGCAGTTTTTCTGCTGCTATATTCCAAGGCTAAAATAAATCTTTTTTACAACTAAGAGATCATGTAAAGGTTATTACGTTTTCTATATGGTACATACAGATTGGTACAATTTATTCATATCTGGCTTAGTTTACATTGTTCCTCTGAAGTATGCATACAGTAAATGTATTAAACAGCACAGAAATGCAGTAAGCATTCCAAGGCTCCTACAGTTATAATGTATGTTTTCCCTTAGATACTACATTGTGAACAGTAACAGAATACTTGTTCCTCTGATGTATCTTCAAACAAGTAAAACACCCTGGTTTCAGTCACAAATATAATCCCAAATTAAATCAAAAGAGATGCTCAAAATAGAATATTTAAAGTTATTCTCACGCTAGTACTTCTCACATAAACCCCCCCAAACCTGCTGTGTTTGAGTGTGGGATTGATGTTGGAGAGCCAGCAGCTGCTGCTGCTGCCTGGGCAGTGAAAAGCATCAGGGAAACACTGCCACCCGGTGGCCCTCGCGCTTGTGTGCCTAGACTCAAGGACAGCGGCTGCCCTTTGTACAGGTGCAGCCATCAGAGTTCCCACTGGAAGGCTGTGTACCATTTTTTGCATTTTGGGAACCTGGCTAGATGTACCCCTCTGTTATGCACTTAAGTCCCAGGCTAATGAAAATAAACCTCAGTTCTTTCAGGTCAAGCACGTGAAAGACAAGGACTATCCAGGGAGGGAATCTTCTTACAGTTTTCTGAATTTGTATTTACAGGAGTTCTTCCAAATACTGTCATTAAACAAACAATTCTAAGAAAATAAATTTCATTCTATTTTTAGAAGTTTAAGATGCACCCTTGAAGTTATATAGGATGACATCAGATAAGAATACTACAGTTAACTAAGCAAATACAGTATTTTTAAGTGAATAAAACATGGTATTTATACAGAGCATAACAACTTCAAAGGAAAACGTAAATAGAGCAATTATGTGCTTCATTGAAATAGGCACAGTGAGTGCCAAGGAGGTAAGAACTCCATGGAAGCTACCTCCTGCAGCCCATTCTCACAACTTCTAAGTGTGAGGTCTTCAGACTGACAGCTACATCTTCAACTGGATCTCAAAGAGCTTAAGGTAAAGAGAACTATAAAAATCTATCTGTATGCATATGTATTAAACTAAAATACAGACAGTTTATACTCACAGGCCACGGCTGAAGATTTTTTAGACCTTCTTCTACTTTTTCAATATCTGCAAATTTTGTAGCTCCATCTGCATCAGCCATAAGAATTGTTTTCCCTCGAGAAATGAAGACACCCTGCAATCAAAATAGTCAATAAAAATCTACACCTTCCAAATCAGTATTTGTCATAAGCTAGCTGCAAACACTGCAAGCACCTGATGTAGCAACCAGAACAGTGATATCTCAAAGATTCAACACAACAGGTGAGGCTTAATATTCTGCCACTAACAATTTATTAAATTATATTGTAACAACATCTAAAGACTTTACACATGGCACACTGTCCCAAAATGACAGGGAATGCACAAACACAAAAAGTTAACAAACCCTCTCTGGAGAAGCTTGCAAACTAAAAGCTTTACAAACTAAAATTGTGAGACATGACAAGTTGTTGTCAGCTAAACAGGGGAGCACAAAGCAGTAATTAGCAGTTGCCACCACACTGAACAGCCTTCCTTTGTCATTTGAACTATGGAAAGGAGGATCCAGTGCTATTTTTTAATAACACAATTTCAGGAGATTTCAAGAGAGAATCTGAAATTAGTTCTAAGGAATAATAAGCCCTAAGTCACAGTGTCACTGCAAAACATATATGATGCTGCAGGTTTTGTCACATTCTTGGTCAGAGATTTGACAATGTTTGATGAGGTTCAGACAGGGAAGCAATTAATGGTGGGTTTGCCAAATATATTGTCTTAACTGAACATGTGTGACTTTGGGAAAAAAAAAAAAAAGGCAATGAAACCCCACTATAAAGTGCAAAACTGTATCACACAAAGAATCATCATATAAAAGAGTTCTTTGTAATTGTTCTTCCCAGGAGTAAAATACCATTTCTGAGATCTAATTTCAGATCTAAAAAAAAATCAGATAATTAAAAATGTAGATATCTAAAAGATTTAGTTATGTTTATTTTATAAAGAGTTGTTGTTTTTATTCATGGAACCCATACTCAGTTTTCTGGCAATCATTTTGTCAATATATTGAAATCATAGTGTAGATCAGCACAGCTCTACCTTCTGCATATTTGGGCACAGGTAGTTCAAACAGAGAAAGAGAGAAAGTATTAATTACCATCCTGACTGCTCCTCCTTTCCCTCGATTTTTTACTAAAGAAAGGACTCGCACTTTGTCGCTTCCATATTTCTTGCAGTACTTCATTGCAACCTGATAGACATACAAAAAACGAGCATAAAACAAAAACAGGAATCAAGGTAGAAGTTTACATTTGCTCACCCTTTCTTTTTTGTTTTAGTTTAATAGCACATAGCTATAATCACTTCAGTCTCCATACACATTGCCAGTGTTTGCTGGAGTCTGTTTGGGGAAAATAAAAACCAGTTCACAGTCAACACAAAAAGACTGGAGAAGCTAGGCAGGTTCAATAGAACAGGATATTCCTCCAAGCAATTCTAAACTCCATTCACTGAAGTCCGAAAGACTCACAATACCAATGTAATTTATACCATGCTATTTCAGACCCTTTATACTAACACAAATATTTAATCAAAAAAATATATTTCTTCACTGCTATTACCTATTTCTCACTTGTCTTGCTGCTCTCTGTGGTCTTAAAGAATCTGTGATCTAAAATCCTATTCACATTGATGTGCAGTTTTCTTCCATGCTATGGGGGAACAAACAAATGAACTTTTTCCTCTTATCTTTTCTAACAGCTGCCACAAGTCCTTGCAAGTCCAGAGGCTCATGACCACAGTGCATTCAGTTAGAAATGATACTAGAAAGTATGCAAAGTCAATAAATATATATCTGAACGATACTTAATGGACAATCTTAAGCTTGAGAAGCTTAAGAAGAAAATGAAAAAACAGCATTCATTTTAGTATCTGACCCCAAAGTCTAACAAGCAGTAATTAAAAATAATAATAAAAAAATCCCAAGTTGGCCAGCCTTCCTTTCCAGTGACATTCATCAAAGTAGGAGGAGAAGAATGCAGAATTATTTTGAAAACAGTTACTGTCACTGGGATTTTAAAATGAACAATGCCACAAAGGATACAATAAAGAGCTACACAATATGTCAGCCATTCTGTCAATTACAGTATGAATCTGCTATTTTAAAAGGTTTCTAATGCTTCCTTAAGTTTTTATTCACATCACTGTGCACATGTAGAGTATTTCAGAAGTTTATTGAAGCTAAGATTTGAATTTTTACAATTTCAGCAGCAGAAAAACTCTGTGTGGGGAGCACATCAGACAGTCAAGAATACTGGCATTCAAAAAATAATTGTATGTGCATGCTTATGTATATGTGACATCCGTAATGCAGGTAGGACAATGATAGAAAGTATTCAGAAACTTGAATTTGAATTTTCAAGTATTTCAAGTAACAAAATGTAAAGGCAAAACATTATTTGAAACTGCAGTGTAAAAATCCATACCTCTGATTGCTTGGTAAGACATTTCTTTTTCTTACCTTTGTGGTTTGATCTTTACTTCCATCATCAACCACTATTACTTCATAAGTGAATGAAGGATCTTGTTTCTTAAAAAGAAGAACAGAAAAAACGTATTTCATCCAATATCTGAAGTCGGTGTTTTGAACATCAGCATACCTTACCTCTGTCAGTTTTCAACTCATTCATGTTGAGACAGGCACCAATATAACGCAGTAAATTTGCTACGGTAGCAATTTCAGTTAAAGAATTTTGCCACATTTGATGCCTGTTCCATTATATTGGCCGTCATATTGTTCCTCAACTATCATTTAGAAATAAAAAAATTAATTTATAAGAGGTGAAAATTCAGAACAACATCACTGCTAATACAAACAAACCAAACAAAATGCACAAGGCGCTTCTTACCCAAATAACCAACCCTAATGAAGAACACAGGTTTAAAAAACTTTGGGACAAACAACTATATAATTTAGAATGTTAAATGTATCATTAATCCTTACTTTCCATCTTGGAGAGATAGCATGCATCACATAGTAGTAATTAAATTTAATTAAAAAAATGCAATCCAGTATTCAATCTGAAAATAACTGTAAGAGACAAAGTAGTACTTCCAAGTGGCTAAAATTATGCTATTTAACATACAGCAAAAAAAAACAATGCAAATAGATCACAGACTTATTACATATAGTAAATAAAGATAATATATTTTGAATGCAAAATAAAAATACCTGTCTTTTTTCCAGAAAATCCATAGCTTCATCCATCATAAGAGGTACTAGACAAAAAAACACAAAGATGAAGTTAGTAGATTTTAACAGGCTAAACACCAAAAAGCATCTGTACACGCAAGCTGACAATAACCACAAAGCTAAGATGAGCAAACTGCTTTCTTCATACTACACCAGCTTCAGTAGACGAGCTTAGCACCTGCAATTCTAAGCCTCATCCTTTCTGAATGGAAGGACAATGAAAAATCTCACACATGTAAGACAGACACAAAAATTTATTTTAAAGATTAGAACCAGGTCTCCATTTTAAAATGCTATTCTCTAAGCAGTATTAAAGAAAAAAAAATCTCCAAGCTATTTAAGCCAACTGACGGAGAAATTCCTAACTCTACTTAGTCCCATGCCTTCTCCTGCTAAGGCTATTAGCTGTGATGCTTCAGCCAACAAACCGACACTATTTTTGCAGCAGATTTATCTGCAGGTTAGAAAGACATTCGACTTTATGGCCGTCTTTGCAAGACATACTCATTTCTGAACTCACAGCAGGTGCTTACTCAGTCTCCAGAGAGACAACTAAATGAAAAGCACATTAAATATATATGTGCTTGCAGTAAGCAAGAACTTAAATGAGAACCAGGACTGAGGAATGCAATGGACTCAAAGAACTAGGCCTACCTTGTGTCCAGATGCACATTATTTGTCAATATCCCTCAAGTGAATTCCAGACAGCTCGCTACTTTCACTCACCAAGAATAGAAAGGTATGCTACCACATCAAGCAGAAGTACAGCTCTACAGCTTGACAATTTCTGTCACATTGGAAGGTCTTTGCTTTTCAGTCTCATGTCCTCATACATATGGCCAAGCCAAAAGCCAAACAGCAGAATCAAAGCCATGAGATCATTCCTTTCCTGCTTGTCTGAAACTGCTGCTGTTGCTTACAGCAAGCTCCGAAATTAATTTTAAAAGTCTGTTTATACGCCTAACTTTACAGCAACTACAGGGGCAATGAGCAGCTATCCTGCTATACTTCAGCAAAATAAAGCAGATTCTTACAAGTGCTCCATCCTACTTTTAGCAGCAGCAATCAAATTACACAATATCTTAATTTTGAAATTCAATGTGCTTGGACTGTTTTTTGGAAACTGTGTAGAAAATCAGACACATAATCTGGCGAGCTACAGTCTACTGCCAACATAAACTGACCTCTGCATTATCAGAGGAACAACAGATAGATTTTCTTCTTTTTCTCAAAACAAGAAAAATCTTACACCGGTCTTCCTCATTGTATGAAGGCACAACAACAGAGAGTTCCTTTGTGGGGGGATCGTGTATACTTGGTACAGATTCTTTCCTGCCTTCAGAATTTATGAAGAATTTTTCTTCTTCGTATCGGTGAAGGGCTGGCATTTTTATGGCAGTTACATGAGCAATCACACAAATCTGTGATAAAAAAGATAAAAAGAGAAAATATTTGAGCATTGTTTATACACCAGCATTGTATTAAAGGTTTATCTAGCTGCTGAATACATTACAAGGGGCAACCAAACATATTTCAGTAATGAGATGGGTCAATAGCAAATTGCTTCATCCACCAACCAAATTGCAAAGGACCAAAAACTTCTTGTGTGAGTGCTGATCTGCTCGAGGGTAGGAGGGCTCTGCAGAGGGATCTGGGTAGGCTGGGCTGAGGCCAACTGCATGAGGCTCGACAAAGCTGAGTGCTGAGTGTTGTGCACTGCGGGCACAACAACCCCAAGGCTGGGTATTAGGAGAAATTTCTTCACTGAGAGGGCTGTGTGGTGCTGGAATGGGCTGCCAGGGAGGTGGCGGAGTCGCCATCCCTGGAGGTGTTTGAGAAGCACACAGATGTAGAACTTAGTAGCGTGGCTTAGCAGTGAACTTGACAGTACTGGGTTAAAGGTTAGACTAGATAGTTTTAAGTCAACTGTGACTCCGGATGCCCTCGAAGGGCTGGTCTACGCCTTGCCGCACCTTGTCCAAATAATCTGTCAGCCAGCTGGCGTTACCTGTGTCCTGTGCTGAGCCACTGGAAGCGGTGGCATTACTGTGGAGTGCAGCACACCTCTGTCAGAGCACCTCTATGCACAGCCGAAACACAGCTGACAGCTGTCACCCCAGATCCTGGGGAGCACCACAGACGTGGCAGCAGTGGCATGTAGCAGAATTTCGGTTTCTATGCGAAAATCCTCAACCTCGCTCCCCATTTCGCAGCAGCTCCCCATTTTACACCCCCTGTCCCCGAGCGGCTGGGACAGGATCCCCACAGCGGGTGCCCCCAGCAGGCGTACAGCCCCCGGGGCAAATCACACCCCTCGCGAGCCCACCCCCGCTGCAAACACCACACACCCCGAGCCCTCCACACCACCCCAGCAGCTCTCACCAGGAGGAGGAGGAGGAGGAGGAAGGCTGCCAGCAAGGCGACGGCCTCGGGCAGGGGCAGCGGCAGCGCCATAGCCCGCGGCGGCGGGGGGGAGGCAGCGGCTCGGCGCCCTGAGGCGAGGCTACAGCCACGCGGAAGCCGCCATCTCCTTTCCCTTCCCTTCCTTTCCCTTCCCCGCCCCGCCGTGCTGGCAGCCGGCCGGCAGCGGAGGCTTCTGGGCGCTGCAACCCCGGAACCACACCAGGGGAAGGGAGGAGAGAGGAGGGGAAAGGCAGCGGCATGGCGACGGCGTTCAAGTAAGCGCGGGGCGCTGGGGCGGCCGCTTGCGGCTCTGCCCTGCCCGGGGATGGTGCCTGGGGGTTGTAGGCGGATCGGGGGAGCCCCCGGCTTCTCGCCTGGTCTTGGGAGCATGGGTTCTGCCTGCTGCGTGAAATGGGGTGTCGCGACTGATCGGGAAACGGGGTGTCGCGACTGGTCGTGGTGGGGGGGTGCGGAGGGGTGCTGGACCCTTGTACCGGGGCTGGGGGGGGGAGCGGAGGAGCCCCCATGAGACGCGGGGACTCCGTGTGCTGGCTTCCGTGGGGATACGCGTGCTTATTTTGTTCTGCGTACGCGTTATAAAACACGTGTGCTTGTGTGTCTGTGTGTGTGTGTGTGTGTGTGTGTGTAACAGCGCCGCTGTCAGTGCCTGCATCTCAACATGGCTGAGTGCGGGGCGCTGCACTTCGCTCACAACAACCCCGTGCAGCGCTGCAGGCTTGGCACAGAGTGCCTCCAAAGCTGTGCAGAGGAAAAGGATCTGGAGTTTTGGCTGGTGATCGCCTGAATATGAGCCAGCAGTGTGGCCAGATGGCCAAGAAAGCTAATGGCATCCTGGCTTGTATCAGGAATAGTATGGCCAGCAGGAGCAGGGAGGAGATCGTCCCCCTGTATTTGGCTCTGGTGAGGCCGCACCTCGAGTGCTGTGTTCAGTTTTGGGCCCCTCACGACAAGAAGGACATCGAGGCCCTGGAGCGTGTCCAGAGCAGGGCTACGAAGGTGGTGAAGGGCCTGGAGCACAAGGCCTGTGAGGAGCGGCTGAGGGAGCTGGGGGGGTTTGGTCTGGAGAAGAGGAGGCTCAGGGCAGACCTCATTGCTCTCTGCAACTGCCTGAAAGGAAGGGGTGGGGAGCTGGGGGTTGGCCTCTTCTTGCAGGTAATCAGTGATAGGACCAGAGGGAATGGCCGCAAGCTGTGCCAGGGGAGGTTCAGGTTGGCAATGAGGAGACATTTCTGCTCAGAAAGAGCAGTCAGGCACTGGGACGGGTTGCCCAGGGAGGTGGTGGAGTCACCGTCCCTGGGGGTGTTCAAGGAGAGGTCGGACGTGGTGCTTGGGGACATGGTTGGTGACACTGGTGGTAGGGGATGGTTGGAGCAGATGATCTTGGAGGTCTTTTGAATGATTCTGTGATTCTAAACATGTGAAAGCATTGCTCAAATACTGAAACAACACATATGAAACAACACTTCTTTCTACCTCAATGTTCTGTGCTTAAAATCCCAGTGCACAAACTATGTTGGCAGTATCTGAGTAATAATAAACATCAGTTATTTCTCAACTGAAGCATAAAGCATTTCTCACAATTTTTATTTTTTTCCTGAAGATTCTAAAAAATGTAATATTTCATGTAAAGTGTTGTTTGTTTTTTTTTTTGTGCATCTGAATGCAGTCATTGAGCTACCAAATATTGCAGATACTGTAATAAAATTGCCCTTTCTGCAACTCTTCAAAAAAAATCTATATTGTTTCCTCAGTAAACATTCACTTTGACCTTAAAATTAATAGGCATTTAGTTAATATTACTGAGGTGAAAGCTGGTAGCTTGTGCTAGGTGTATGTGCATGCAGATTCCTTGTGAAGAAGAAGTATTTTGGAAAATGAATGACAAAAAAAGTTTGTTTCTTCATCTTTACTGTTTCTTAGATCAGTCTAGAGTTTCCAAGTTTTTCATATTCATATTTTATATTACTAAGCAGCTTTGCAAGCCATCTTGATTCGTAGATTATTTGTTGTTGTAGGATAGCGCTTGCTTTTTCTTTTTGCTCTCCTTGGAAGCTTGTGTGTAAACATCCTTTCTTATTTATTGTAGGACAGTGGAACCGTTGGAATACTATAGAAGATTTCTGGTGAGTAAAACATGATGTACGTTTATAAATTGCTTGGAAGCAATTCTTGTGTACTCAAGCTTTTTTAATTTGCATGAAAGCTTGAAACTGTAAGGGAAAAACAACTCACTAAGTTGAGGAAAAATGCTTGTAGCTCTTCAGAACTTGTTTTTCCTCCTGTCTCTGACATTGATTCTGTGGCAGGTTGTGTTCCTGTTTAACTCCAGATGTGAAAATGCTTTTGTTGGCCTCAAAATGAATCTGAGTTAAATTTGACCAAGGTGGTGCTGCAGGCTTGTGTCTAGTGCAAAGTGACTTGGCATTCAGTTGCTACTAAAAGTAATAAAAAATATTGCTACTAACTGTGCTCATTGTAACTGTGAAGGAGAACCTCTTTTTTTTGTATGCTTTACACTAAAATAGTATTGATTTGGAAATGAATACGGCATTACTGCTATCAGTTTCAGTTCTTGTAATTGAACCAAAAGTTTTGATTTTGAGAAGCTTGAAATTGTGATGAATAATAGCTCAGATCTAACGTGATAACAAATTGGTGTTGCTTCTAACTTAAGGTTTGGGTTCTGTTGAACAACTTCTGACTGATAATATTTAGAGGTGTTTTTTGCTTTGTTTCATTTTGGTTCACTCTAATGTTCGTTTTGAGAACTCCAGCAGATGGGGCTAAGGGATGGGAGTTGCCTGCAAGTTCTACACAATACAGACAGGTAGAAACTCTCATTTTAAGTTTCTGAATCTAGCCTGTAGTACTTATCCTTGAGACAGACAAACAATCTATTGTTATATTTATTTTCTAAATAAGTTACAGTAAATAAAAAAACACTGATCCTGCAACCAAAAAGAGGTTTGGACATCTATTGATGAAAAATTGTCTGGAATGTGACTTTTTCTAGCAATTTTGTAGCTGTGTATTTCCACCAAAATGGAGAATGCTTTTTATATAAACTTACCAATGTGTTATTTGATAAAATATGTCTGGTGTGTTATTTGATAAGAATATGTTTTCTAACTTGAAATTTGTAATTTCTGTGTAGAAAGAGAACTGTCGACCTGATGGGAGAGAGCTAGGTGAATTCCGGGCAACCACTGTCAACATAGGTAAGTGGAATAATAATGATAATGTGGGTATTATTAATCTCTCATTGCAATAGCCAGTACCCTTAATGACTTGCTTATCGCTTTTCTTGGTGCTTGAATTTTGAAACAAGGAAGAGGAAGGATTTTTATTTATAGTTCCAACAAACATTAAAAAGAATGTACAGTACAGTAATATTTTTGAGCATTTTTCTCTGGTCCTGCCCCGGGCTGGTACGCACAGCAAAATTTAGGTGGTCTTAGAAGTGTGACTCCTTCTAAGACCAGCAGCTTCATGTTCTGGATGCTGAAGGCAGCATCTATCCACATACTGATAAGTGAACAGCTGATCCCTGGCATCTTGACAGGTGCTGACTCTTGGCCTGCGCCTTGTTCTAAGCTCGATGAGCAGCTGGCTCAAGTAGAGGCAAGAATCCTTATGTGCAGTGAGCAGCAGGCCTTAACTACCTTTCTTAGACCATGCTGTGATTTCTGAAAAAAAATACATAGATTAGCACGTGCCACCATGGTATGGTTGCTGGTTATTGCTGAAACAAACACTGCAGATCTTTTCCATTGTACAGTGTTGCCTTTTCATGAGGGCTTGCTGTAAGTCACTCAAAAAGTCATCTTGTGATAACCATCCCTGATTACTGGTTTAAAAGTTTTCCATTGATAGGATCTGTGATCTAGAACTGGTTTACCTGCTTGTGTGGTAAAAGGTACATTTTCATCTAGTAGAGCGTTGACTGCTATTAATGTAAAGGATATTATTAGTTCAAATTTGCATCAATGTACAAAACACAATCTGTTGTACATGAAAAAAATTGATCAAGGTAATAATGAGGCAGGCTTATTCTGTAACATTTTGGGAGAAAATGCTAGCAGTATATTTTGGATAATGGATTCAGCAATCCTTAGCTTGAATTTTAAGGATGCTAATAATCCAGTGTTCTGACTGTTTGATAGAGAGAGGGGATCTGTTCCCATCCTGGATTCATCAACTTTGTTTAGCCTGTGTTTAGTTTAAAATGATGGAGATTAAGCACTTTATGAAGGTGGATGTTAATTAAGGTCCTTTGAATGAAAAATTTTATTGAACAGCACTTTCTCTCTTCAGGTTCAATTACAACTGCGGACGGGTCTGCCCTGGTGAAATTGGGAAATACGACAGTAATTTGTGGAGTTAAAGCGGTATGGTTGGTTTTGATTTTAACTTGGCTGATAGCTGAATTTGTTTATTCATCTGTAGAATGCATCTCCTGCCGAGTTACAATAATATGCCAGTAAGATACAATTACATTATTTTATGAGTTACTTTCAGGCATCAAAGATATTATTATTTCATTGTCTTGTACATTCTGAGAATGTGTATTTTTGTGGTGTGTACTGTGTATGGCGAAAGATATGCACAAAAATACAGAGCTTTTATTATCTAGAAATAACAGTAATTGAAGAGTTTCTGGAGACTGATCAGTAAGTGGGTTGGTAATTAGTTGGCTGGACTGTGAAGTGCCTTGTTGCCTCAGCTTTACTGGTGGCCTGCCGTGAACCCTGAGATAAATCACTTCACACCCCTGCATGCAGTGAGAAGTCTTCCCATTGGCAAAATACAGTTTGTTACCCATGAAATTGCAACTGACTGATGAAAAATAGCTCTTTTAAATCAAACGGTAATGATATCTGGCAAGAAAATGACACTTCACACTTAGAATAGCTGGAAATATTTTTGAACAAAATTAAGCTCTTCATTTCTTCCTTTTTTACTCCAGGAACTTGCTGCACCTGCAGTAGATTCTGCTAATAAAGGATATATTGGTAAGCTTTTTGTTCTTAATAGTATTTTTTTTAGTGCTTCAGCTAAAAGTAAAGATGAAGTGTGCTGTGAAGGCCTCATTAACGGAAAGAAATTGGGTGAAACTGTATTACTTTCCTAAAATCAGTTTTCAAATTGACATTTGGGACGTGTTAATTCAGAAATTTCAGAATTCCCCTGCTCTGCTTGTGAGTTTTCTATGCAAAGCTACTTTCTCATTCCTGCTTCCAGACCGGGATAAAAATAAACCCTCAGCGAGGGATGTTTGTTAAGGGGAGAAAGGTAGTTCATCTGTAAGATTGGGCCATGCAATGTTGTGCAAAGGCATGTTAACTTTTGTCTTGAAGTCCCAATAGACAAAAAAGGCGACACAAACTGCTTGTTTCTCAGGGAACTGTAGAAATCCCAACATCCTCACTCCTGTGCGGTTTGTTGTGAAACAAAACCATTCAGTGGAACGGAGAGCTCATGTGAAATCCCCTTTTTATATGTGGATTTTTTTTCCACGAAAGTTTATGCATGTTTTTGCTTCCAGTCTAAAGCATCAAGTTTTAATGGTTGATGAAAAGCAGATAGCATACCAGTAAGGACAGGCAGTGGGATGAAAATGGTGCTGTTCCTTGAGCTAGTTAAGAATGCTTAACACTTAGGGAAGAGTGTGTGAGGTCATGATACTCACAGAAGGAATCCAAACAGAAAACGGTTAAGTACAAGTATTCGCTTTTCTGTGGAACATACCTTTTCCAAGTACAGTCTTCTACAAACTCTTCAGTCCAAACTCATTTGTAAGTAACTGTTTTTGAGGGGAAAAGTAGGAAGGCTTGACTGAAGAATTCTTGGTCTTGCTTTTCGTTTGAAGTACATGAAAGGGTATTAAAAGTGCATATTATCTTATTTTTGATTTCCCATGCCATGATTTCTTTAATGTTTAACTGATGATTTTTGTTACCTAGTTCCAAATGTAGAACTGCCATCCCTCTGTTCAACAAGGTTTCGCTCTGGACCTCCTGGCGAAGAGGCTCAAGCAGCAAGCCAGTTCATTGCCGATGTGATTGAAAAGTAAGGACCTTCTTACTGCGTTTACACCACAAACAACTCTGAAAGACAATTTTCTATTTGCTGTTTTACTTTCTCGTTTTATTTTAGTTCACAGATAATAGCAAAGGAAGATCTGTGTATTGCAAATGGCAAGGTAAGTCGTATCTTTAGTTGTATATAAATACATACTAGCAAGATCATGGTGGTAAGACTTTAAAGAAGGTATTGGATGTTTTTTTTTTTTTTTTCTTTCCAATTTACATAGCTTGGTTTAGGTCTAGAGCATAAAATTTTGTTCTTATGAAAGAAGTATCTTTGTTTGTGTGGCCAGTGTATTCTTAGATACTGCACCATCTGCTTAGCTGCTGTAATAACTCACATGTGCAAACCTTTTTTGATAGCTTGCTTGGGTGTTATACTGTGACATCATATGTCTGGACTACGATGGAAACATCTTGGATGCCAGTGTCTTTGCTTTGTTAGCAGCATTAAAAAATGGTAAGTCTTCTCTAGAGTAAGAAACACTCTGATTGCTGTTGCTTGGAGAAATATGTTAGTTTTTAATCATGAGGGAAAATAACTGCTTCACAATTCCTTAAGTCTGCTTTTTTCTGTCACCTAAATTACTAAATTGGGAATACAGAGTGGAACTGATGGGAAGGATTCCATAGATATGTAACAGCTGGGCAGTAAGATCTTTTCGTATGTATATTATTGCTGTCTTGTAAGATTAATAGCCATTCTGAGTGTTTTTCTGTCTCAGAAATTGGAATCTTTCAGCAGAGGTCACAAACAACTTTAATGTCTAGTAGAGCACCTTACCTTGTTCATCTGTGTTGCGTAGGCAGAACAAGCTGTTGGGAGCTTATTTTATTTTGTCAAAACACAATGTTTGTAGCTTCATGTGTTATAGTTTGAAAGAACTGTTTTCATGCATGCTATATAGGTATGATAATTCACAAGGTGTGGGTTATATATGCATGTAGGAGGCAGCACAAAGAGTTAGAGAAAGGCTTCCTTTTCTAAGCGTTGAATTGCTTGCCTTTGAATTCCAATAGCTAATTTGCTCTTGATTTCCCCGTCTCCATTACTGGGTTGTTTGAGTGAGAGTTACCTTAAGATTGGATTGTACTTTTTCTACAGATGTATAAAATACATGAGATGAGACTGTATGTATATATTTGGTTTTATATGTCCTGTAGGCATTTTTTGGGGAAAAAATGTTTTTTGTTCAATTTGAGACTAAAGGTGTTGTAATTGTATTGTATTTTGGAAGCAGAAAATGCTAGGGAGGAATGTTACTTTCAAGAGAAAAGTGAAATAGTTACTTGAATAGGTAGTTTTAAGCTAAACAGGTTGCTTGAATTAAAAAAAATGGAACACTGTTAATATAACCAAAATCCCATTCTCATCTGCTTTCCAGTATGGTAAAAGGACAGCTTGAATATTTCAGCGGTCTAGGACATCTTTAGGCCTACTGAAAGTAGCAGTGTTTAATACTATTCTATTGTCATTTTTTCACCTCTTCAGTCCAGTTGCCATCTGTTACTATAAATGAAGAAACTGGTTTGTCGGAAGTTAATTTAAAACAGAAGAATCCCCTGGTTATCAGAAAGCATCCAGTTGCCACGTCCTTTGCTATATTTGATGAGTAAGTTCCTAACTATTTTGTACTTAGGAAAACAAGTGTGAATCTAAAAGAAATAGTGAAAACATGAGGATGCTACTGGTGTTTCTGCACTTATCCGCTGCTGGTGAAGGACACGAGGGTTCAGGCAGTGCTGTTTTGCTATCTCTTACATCCAAGGTGTGTCTCGCTGAACTGATTTGTAGTTCTGCAGTATGGATGAGTATGCAGCAAACAAACAACAGTTTGTCCAACTTCCTCCTGTGACTTAAAGCAGAGCTGTTTCCCAGCCTAAAGGACAGGCATAAAAGTACTCTAGGGTTGAAGGTTTTGGAAAGGGTATTGATTTATGTTTATGCAGTATCCTCTAGACAAAAGAATGGTACTAACAGAGTTCATCTTTTAAAAGTTTATGTACATAGCTGATATAAAAGATGATAGTTTTTTGAACAGATTATATGAAGGGTTTAGTCAACAGAGGAAGTAAAAAGTACTGGTCTACTCAGAACAATGAAACCTCTGGATAAATGAAAACATAATTACCCAAGATGAAATATGACCAGCACTCTTAAGTCATTGTTCCTGTAGGTAAAGAATCTGATTATGAGAAGTCAAAATAATCCCATCCAGTAACTTGACTCCTCACCTGAAATTGTTTATTGGCTCTTCATTAGTGTAACTATGTTAATTAAGTGTTCTGTTGCTGCATAGAAGAAAAGTAGAGAATCAAAAATATGGTATTTACTGTGCTTTCAATCCATTTAAATGTTTAGAGGTCAGGCATTTATGGCACATTTATCTGTAGTCACAGAAATTACTGATAGGCCCTTAGATTCATGGGATGGGATGGGATGGGGTGAGGGGAGTGCTAAGCTCCAATGCTGACCAGGTGATTACCAAATTAATCAAAGCAGAAAGTTACAGGCGTGCTGGTGCAGAGCACTGTGGAGCTCCACAGCATGGCTCCTGTACATAAATAAGAGCCAGGTCTGATGCATCCAACTCTTGGTGTGTACAGGTTTCATTTGTCATGCTGCACAGTGTGTGTGGGTAGAATAAAAAAGTAGCATTTTTGAGTAGCATAGCTAAGGACTGATATTTTTATTAAACTGCAGCTCTGAAAGAGCAATCTGAAACTGTTGGTTAAAGTGTAAATTACCCAGAAAATCCTTTTTAAAAATTATGCACTGCATGAGCTCAAATCAAAAAATTCTTCCACTTATTTAACGGGCATTCAGCCTTACTGCTATTCCCCCAAAACTTGCCATAATCATTCAGTTTAGGTGCACTGTAGCTGGTAGGTTGAAGTTGATTACATCAAACTCTCACACAAAACTTAGTTAACGTAAACTGAGGCTTCATGAAAACTTCGGGTATAGTTTGTTTGGCTATATCGTAACTCAGAAGCAAAATGTTTGTACTACCGTTTTGTTTGTTTTTGAAAGAAACCTAAGGCTAATGTGTTGTTGTTTGGCTTTTTAAGTTCAAGCTCTTGTTGTGCAAAGTTGTCTTTTAGTTAATACCCTTCTTTTCATTGGTTTGCTCAATTTTTAACTTGAAAACTAATATTTTCTCCTTTAATGATCTGCATTGTCTGATGTATTTGACAGCTTATTTTGGTTTTCTTAAGGAACTCAGTAACCATTTTTGAATTATTCACAGTCTGAGTGATGTTAGAGCTCTCTGACAAGCAACTGAGAACCACTTTGGTGAATTTACCATTAGAAATGTATTTTGCCTTAAGGTCTGGTATAGATTAGTGAAGGCTACACGTAAAAACATTGTCTTTGCTTAACTATGAAGTAAGTGGTTGCATACTACAAATAACAGTTCTAACACTGTTTTCCTGCAATACTACAGGTCTATAAAACTTGCACATACAGATGTATTTTGACAGCTGGTATTTTAACAGATGTATACACTATTTCCCTTTTTTTTTAACTAGTAGATTGTGGGGAAAAAAAACACCAGATGAGTTTGAACACTAAATCAATCTAGAATTACTTTATAACACTACATTAAAATTAATTAGCGAATGCATTTTGCAGCCATGTTAATGGAACATCACGTACTAATGTCTGCATATATTTTCCTTTCAAAAGCACATTACTCATAGTTGATCCAACTGCTGAAGAAGAAGACTTAGCAACTGGAACAGTAACTGTTGTAACTGATGAAGAAGACAGACTCTGTTCTGTCCATAAGCCAGGTACTTCCAAGCTCATTGCATAGGAACCTATGAAGAGGATGGTCTTTTCTTGACCTGTGTGTTATATACCCCTCCATTTATTTTTTTTTGTAAAATGTGTGCACTTCATGATAACAGATGGGTTAAGTACTGATTAAATCACTTACTCTTGAAATTCATTTTGAAAGAGGTGGCATGACTGATGTCATAGCTTACCCTACACATAGCAAATGACAAATCTTGAGCGTGTCTACTGTTTAGGTCTGGTGTGTTTGTCTTCTGTGCCTGAGGCTGTATTTGAAGAAGCTGTATGCTTTCTTCAGGCAAAAGTTGAGAGAATTAATGTATTAATACCCTGACTTAGAAAACACATTTGAGGATACTTAACTGAAGCATAAGTGGAAATTCAAGTTGTTCCTTTCAATTCTTAGGTGGAAGTCCTCTGACAGGTGCCAAGCTTCAGGACTGTATCACCAGAGCCATAACAAGACACAAAGAAGTGAAGAAGCTGATAGACAAAGTAACAAAAAGCATAAAGCCCAACTGAACAAAAGGCAAGATCTTTTCAAAAGTGGATTTGTAAAAATTGTATTTGTTACAGTGTTCACAAACCTTTTTATACTAAATAAACAAATACCAATACTACATTTACAAAGTTCATTTTTTTCTAAAATGTTTTCCACCCTTATACTATGTACAATGCTGCTGAATGGTAAAAAATACAAGATAAAACATTCTGTTAAAAAATTAAGTGACTTACAAGGAAACCGGACCCTAGCTGCTTTATCAATGAAGTTGCCACATTATATAGGGGTAGCTTCCAAAAACAGTTTATTTCAGTGTAAGGTCAAAAGGTCGGTTTCCCACCAGTAATATAAAACACTGATTTGTTTTAAGCTTTCTCCTTTTTGAACTGGAAAAAAAAATCACCTCTGAATCATTTTTATAAAGGAAAAAAAATGCAAGTCTCAGGATTTTGGAGGGACTGGTGTGCCTCTTTTTCTTTTACTTTTTGAGTGGCTGCCTGAATGCTGTTGATGTCGCAGGTGAGCTGCTTGTGCTGCTGCTGCTGCCGCCATAGCCATTTGATGCTGCAAGAATCGCAACTGCTGCCACGAAGGAGAAGGGGGAGAAAAAGCTTGTTAGTGTTAGCTATAAAGCTATGTTTCACATCAGAAAGAATGACAGAAAGGTGGAAAAAAAAACAAAACTGAGGAGGCACTAGGTTAACAAAAGGAATACATCATGTACTGGGGCAATGAGTACAGTCAAGCAGCACCAGTGGCACAGAAGCCTGCTGAGGGCATATCTAACATTGTACATGTTCTCAGACAGCTATTTCTTTGCCCTTTCTCTCCATTGCAGTAACTGCAGTAACTCAGCAACTTCAGTGAACGTTTGGTGATGTGGTACATTTTTAGCATTGTACCTTTCCTGTGTATGTGGTGTTTTCTTTGTGTATCACAAGGAGACCGTGTGCTAAAAGTATTTCAGTATTTTCATAAAGCATCTGAATAACAGAATGCTAAAGGAATGCTTTATCAGAGATGTTGTACATACTGACTGTAGCTGTGCTACACTGGGACTTACAGGTGCTTCAAGTGTCTTTCTTTTGCAAGCCTAATGGCACCTGGCAGAGCTTATTTAGTAATGTGCCACAAGCACTCCTTGAATGTTAGCAAATCAGGAAGGTGGATGGCTTAAATGAATAAAAATAAAGGCAGTGCTCCAAGCTGAGAGAACTACACATTTCAAGTCTTTCATGATAGTTTGTCTGAATTCATTTTTTTTATTTTTTTTTAAATTTCAGACTGTAAAGACAGTTTAAAAAAAAAAGGAGATTCTTTGTTTTGGAGCTGAGAATTGTATTTTTTTTTTTTTTTTTAAACAGAGTGAAGTTGCTGGATTACTTGTATCTGTTGCTGCTGCTGCTGCAAGGCTTGTTGTTGTTGCTGTTGTAAGGCAGAAGAGAGCTGGAGTCTCTGCTGAGGAAGGCTTTGCCCAGGTCTGTTCACGGCAGAGCCAAGCTGAGACAACACTAAGAAAGGAGAAGGGGAAAGCAGGCAGGTCAAAGAGGTCAGGTTGAGTTTGTCAGGGTTGGGAAAGGAAGACATAGGAATAGAGTGTAACATAAAGGGAGGATCAACAGAATTAGTTTAAGTAAAATTGGAAACAGTGCAGAATAAAATATACATGATATACATACTTGGTTAGTTATAACATAATTAGATTATGAAGTGCTTGTGGAGACACAAAGAGGTTTCTCATACTGGATGTTAAGCACACAGTTAAAGAAATATTCTTCAATGAAGTCTGGCATGGAATTTTCCTGTATTTTTTTATCGTATCAAGTGTGGCTTATTCATGTGATATAACCAATTTATTACACTTAACTGCCAAACAAAGCAGAGAAGTGCATGTGTTGGTAGTGGAAGTCCAGTATTTCTTGTAAAATTCATATGCTGATAATAAATAGCAAGTTGTTCTGTAAGACTTCTCTAAGACCAAACTTCATTTCAGTGTGAATTTATCAACATACACACTTAAATACAAAAGGAGGCTCAGCAAGCACATACCTGTGGCTTGAGGTTGCATAAAATTCCCTACTCCAGTCAGGTTAATAACAGCAGCTTGTTGGGCAGATAATGCCTGATCTTGATTGGATGGACCTTGGTCAGACCCCTAGCAAAAATGAAAAGCTTGATCCTTATTACCAAACTCAGTACCAGTAAATAAGTAAAGCCAGTGTGACGACAAGCTTCTGAAGTGCCATTTAAAAACATTTAATTCTACATTTTACAGTGCATGTAGATACAGGCTACAATGTAGTCACTACTGAAGTTTAACAAACAGATGCCGAATGCTTCCAAACAGCTGTTTGGCAGAAACGGAACTGTGCTGTCAGTCAGTAGAGATTAGTTTATGGTTGTAATCTTAGCGCATTTCCTCTCCTGCTCCCCACCTCCAAAGCCTTCAGGTGACAGCTGTAACTATCCACATGCAAAGGTCCTAATCATAATCAAAATGTGAAAGGTGTGAAAACTTACATTCGCATGTTCAGATGCCTTAACATCATAAAAAAAAATATGAACTCTTTTTAAGTTTTGTTTTCAGAACAAAGTAGCCCTGACACTAATCACACAACTGGAATTACTGGAGCCTCATCTAGTGTTTACTGACATTAAGAGTGCTGAATTACGACCTCTTCTTGAATTGATTCAAATAGCAGGGAAATAAAATATTACACCTGATTTAAGCAAACTGCATGGCTTATCAGTTACAAGGAGGGGGAAAAAAAACAACACATGGGCTTTTGAGCTGGTGCATTTCCAGGAATTGCAATGCTTCTTAAGAATACCCATATGAAATAATGTCACTAAGACCTGGGTAAACTTGGCCAAAAGACTGGACATCAAGACATACATCATCATCTTGATGAAGACAATGAAGACAGACTTACAAAGTCATAGAACCAGCATGTGGAAAAAGACAATCCTAAGTATGAAAAAAGTAAGTATACTAGTGGTAGCACAGAGTTTGTTTTTTTTTGTCTTTTGGGACTAAAGTTTTTTCCACTAAGCACTTGGATTACAGCACTGTGAACATAGACATTGTTGTCCATAGCATGAGTTACGGAATCAAGTTAAAATGAGCTATTATGAATACTGAACAACCTTAACCCTGAACTATAATGCGTAGTAAGAAAACCATTCCTTAGGGCAAGTTAGCCAATGCAGAGATTGATTTCTTCAAAAAAAAACTTTCTGCCACAGAAAGGACTTAGCCTCAAATCAGCTTTTGTGTAAACACCCGTAAAGTTAGCACGTAAAAAATAAAACACAAGAGTATAAGCTTGAATTTTATACATAGATATAGATATATATTTAGGTAATTTGACTAGTAACTGACATTTGGATTCTGAGAATAAGTCTGGAAGTCTCCTATTAGACTGTCACACATTTCAGAACGAGGCCTGTGACACAGGAGACTACACCATGAAAATGTTTTAAAGAGTCATCTTATTTATGAACAATCTACAGCAGCACAAGCAAAATTATGACAAAGTGAGTTGTGTATCCATAGAGACAATTTGGTAAACAAAAGTCTTGCATGTCTGGAAAGACAAGAGCTTGTAGTTATAAAGAACACGAAAGCAGAGCAGCTGGTTTTCCCAAATAGCTGCACCAATGATGGAAAGACCTTTAGACACAGGTATAACTAACCACTTAAATTTTTCATTTTGAGAATAGACAGAAAGGTCTCCGTCAAGTCTTTATACTTCTTCAGTGATTAACACCTTTAATACTAGTTACAAGCAGCAGAACAGTAAGTGTCTTAGGATAACTTTAAAGCCAGCTGACATGTTTATTTCTCTGGGGCAGAGAGCAGTGTTGTTACACCACAGGAGTGAGGATCATATGCCAGCTCATAGCAGTTATTTGCTATGAAGCTTTAGTTACTCAGTGGTAATCCTGTCTGTGTTTCTTCTCTGTTCATCTGATGTCTATGGTATCTGCTCGTTAGGATAAACAGAGCAAGACTAGGCTAATTTTACACCACTCACAGTGGGCTGGCTCTCCATGGTGGAGTGAGGCAGTGCTTAGCTGGGTGCTTTGTTACAGCTCTTCTATACAGGATGAAAATAAAGGAGTATAACCCAGCTCCAGCCGTGGCAACAAATCCATTGCAGTCTTCTGCAGTTCACCAAGGTTTGGGAGGAAGACTTTCCTCTCCCATTTCAGATCTGTTGTGTAAAGGCTCCTTAGTGTGGAGATGGGGAGAATAGGAGAAACTGATTCATCCGTGTACCCCAGACTGAGGGCTGTTAGCAACACACCTTATTCCTGTGGGCTGCTGAGATTGCTGCTGTGGAGAAAACTGTGACAGCTGCTGCTGGAGTGGGTTCAAATAAGTGAACCTCATGTAAGCTGTTGAAGATTAATAACAAAAGGCATATTTCAATCGAACTGCTGTGTTTCCCCCATCCTAGGATGAGTGTGACATTGATTATGATGTATTCCTTGGAGGATTTTCTTTTGGAAATCCTTTAAAATTCATTGATTTACAACAGCTGTTGTGTGAAGAAGCCCCATGCTCAAAATAAACCTGCATCAATTGTAGCTGGATTTTTTTTTTAAACAGTAAAATACATTTTAATTATTCTATTTCAACTAAAATAGCAGAGATTGCACTGATACTGGAAATGTAAAGGATAGTCTTCAAAAGCACTGGATAGTAGTTTCATATTCAGAGTATGCCACTGAAGTTTAATAGATGCTTCCAATAAGGCTGAAGGCCTGAAGCAAGAACTGTTGTGAAGAAGTCTCTGAAGTGAAAAAGTCTCAATTCCTCTCCCTTAACCCATTTTAATTGCAGTGCTGTGCTTTCAGCCAAATTATTCTTGTCTTTTGAGTGTCAGAGATAGCCTGAAAGGTCATACTTCAATTTGGAATTGCATAAATACAAGCAGTTTATTTTAAAGAAGAGCTCTACACTGCCTCCTGTGCCTTTCCTTTCCCGTGTTTCTGGAGTTTGTGCAGGAGTGGCAGGATGAAGTAGCAAAGCTACAGATGATCTTTTACTGGTTATTGATTTTCTGAAGCATGGTGCAACATCTGTGGCATTTTGAAGCTGCACCTCTGCAGCTCTAACTTGCAGGCAACTTCAAGATCCAGGAATTACACCCAGCTCCACTCCCTGTTCTGCTTTTTAATGGAGCTCAAACATAAGCACCATTTGCTCAAGTTCCTATTTGTATGTATGCTTAAAGGAAATGAAACATTTAAAGCCTTTTTGGACATCCTATCTTATATGAACTTCTACTTTCATTACCAACAGCTCTTTAAAGTTTTAATTGCACCTACCTGTGCATGTTTAGCTCAAACTTTCAGGCCTTGTGTGTGTAACCCTGAGTGACTCTGCTGTACTGTTTTGTGCTTTTCATATAATCATAACTTCAGTTTCAAGAATGTTTTGCAAATAAAAGCTTAGGCAAATCCAGAAAATTGAAGATGGTATTTTAGGATTAATCTCTTGAATTCAAATGTCAGCATTTTTACATTGTTACTGAAAACTAGCTGCTTTGTTGTGAGCTGAGAATATCATTTCCACCTGATATCTTTTACAGAAGTACCTTTTTCCTCATTTTAAGTGTTTTAAAAAAGCAAATGAAATTTGCAGTATATGGTTTCATCAATTGGCTTCAAAGATCTGTGGCAGCCAATACTGTAAGCAGTGCTAAGCATGTCTCTAAAGAAATGTAAGAAAGTATTATTGTGTCCAAGTATATCAATTACCTGTAGAAGATTTAAGGGCCGAAGATTTGATGCATTTTTCAAACCAAAAGGGCTGCCTGTTAAAGAAAACATCTTTTTATTAGTAGGAAGTCTTTACTTAATTATTTATGTGTATTGCAATTTATACACCTTTCCACTGGGATTATTTCAAACATTTAGAAGCTGGAAAACTGGCAAGCCTGAATTTTGTACTTTAACGCAAATGCTGCATTTTCCATGAAGTTGACAAGTTCACAGTTATCCAGATTCAAAGTTAAAGAGCTGACTGAGCAGAAAGAAAACTGAATCACTGTCAAACACTGTACACTGTAACCTCTAACTTGTGTTTGCATTTATTGTAAAGACCAACATAGAGAATTTCGTGCAAGTTATTTTTTCAGCAACTCTCCTTCTGGCTTTGCAAAGTTTTACTGTTTGTACAGTAAACCTAGAAATGTCCAAGGACAGAAGGAAGTAGTGGGTTCCCAGTTCCTTGATCATTACAACAAACAACCCTTGTCCAAATCTTAGCAACTGTACTACCCTAGAAGGGCGAATGCAAAGACACATCTGACTTGTAGGGCTTTTGGCATTATTCCGCACAGTACTCCTCAAAGATAGACTAAAAGGATGTATATGTAGTTATCTGTGAGGTGGCAACAGAACTCATTAAAATGCTCCAGTAAAACTGCAGCTGTCAAACAGAATCCCCACTGAGGTCTGCCACAGACCTAGATCAGCTCCCTACTTCCATTTGTTACATAGATGATAATGTGAAGTAAAAATCTGACAAAACCAGTAAAGGTTGCTAATGCTTGAAAGGCCAGGATTAGAACTAGAAGTCATCATAGTGAATTGAAGAAAAGGTCCAAAATCAATGACACTGAATTCCAAAAAGACAAACAAACAAGTACAAAACTGAGTTAACTATCTCCGCATCTACACAGCAAGAAAAGATGTGAGAAATTAGAGAGGTCACAAACATACCCGAATAACCCGTACCACAGATTAGAGAACACACAGAAGAAAAGAACTTCTTCACACAGTTTACATTTATAGAACTGTCACAAGATGCTGTAGATAACAAAAATACAAAAGGACTCAAAAAAACAATTAGACAAGTCCCCAGAACAGAAGTCTAGCACAAGCTATTAAGCAAAAAGATCCACATGGATAGTCTTCAGCTGAGAAAGTCTCAAAGCTGGAGACCGCCAGA